CTGGGGACCTGGCCCACAAGTCAGGCATGTGCTTTGACTGAGAATTAAACCAAAAACCCCTTTGGTTTGCAGTCTGCACTCAGTCCACTGAGCTACACCAGCCAGGGCTACTTGATATTTCTTTAAATAGGTTCTCAATCCCTTGCTGTCTCTCTTCTCCTCTAGTATTCCTGTGATGCAGATATTTTTACAGTTCATATTATCCCAAAGGTCTTGTAAACTATCCTCATTTTTAAAATTCCTGTACTTTTTGGTTTTCTTATTGTGTGTTTTATGTAACCTTGTCTTCCAAGTCACTGATTCGATCCTCTTTTTCATCCAACCTGTTTATTCATTGTAGTCTATTTTTCAAAATATTTTATTTCTTTTTAGAGATAAGGAAAGGGAGGGAGAGAGGGAGGAAGCAAAACAGATGTACGAGAGAAACATTGATTGGTTGCCTCTCACATGCCCCCAAATGGGGACCTGGCCTGCAACCCAGACATGTATCCTGACTAGGAATTGAATCAGCAACCCTTTGGTTCACAGACTGGTGCTCAATCCACTGAGCCACACCAGCCAGGGCTATTGTAGTCTATTTTTTATTTTAGATATTGTATTCTTCATTTCTATGTTTTTATACTATTGTAGTTCTTGCTAAATTCCTTGAGCATCCTTATAACCATTAAAAAATTCTTTATGTGGTAAATTGCTTGCCATTTCATTTAGCTCCTTAAAAGAAAAGATTTCTCCTGTCTTTTCATTTGGGACATGTTTCTTTGTCTCCCCATTTTGTCTACCTCTTTGTATTTGTGTCTATGTATTAGGGAGATCTGCTTTGTCTCCCAAACTTGGGAGGATCTTTGGTGTAGCTCAGTATCAGATGCTGCATGTGATTGGCCCCTGGCAACCTGTTTGGAGTTTCCATGTGATCCAGTTTGTGGCTACCTTGGCTGGCCATGGGTGTACTTGGGAAGGACTAAGATGTAAATCAATGTCAGCTTCAACTATCACCAAATTCAGGGGCATGCAAATAAAAGGTCCTAAGTACCCTGAGATTTGCCTGTGCTCACCTTCACTTTTTCACTGTCTGTTAGGCTCACTCACTAAGGGGCCTCTGGCTGTACTTGTGTTGCATGAGAATGGTTCTCAGTGAATCACCAGGTAGGAGTGAGTAGTGTTCACCAGATACATGCAGGCTAAATCTTGGTGCCAGTGTTGGGTCTGAGGTCTTTCAGCAAGTGTCTCAGGGTATAAAAAGTCTAACTGGCACCTATCAGTTGCCCACAGACTGCTGAGATGCAGCAGGGTCTCAGGAAATCAGCGGGATGAGCCCAGTAGTGTCTATCAAGCCTGAACAATTCAAGATTTGGCTGTGTAAAGAAGGGCTCTGCACTCATTAGGACTGAAAGGAAAAAATGGCCTCCTTCCTAGGGCCACACAACTCAGTCTGTCTTAGAGTCTACCAGGAGGCAGATCTCAGCAGGACAGGGCTGTCAGGAGTTGGGAGAGTGGGACTAGCATATTTTCCATAAGTGTGATTGCCTGTCAGTCTTGGGAGTAACAGAGGAGTGGCTCTTACTGCAGAGCCACAAAACCCAGTCGCTGACGCCCCTTGATTCTCTCAGACCTCTATGCCTCTACCCAGGCAGCTGTCTCTTCAGCAGGGTGTGAGCTCTGCAGGATGGTGTGACAGGGAGTCCAGAGGGTGGAGCTATAACATTTCCCCAGACTGATGCTCTAAGGAGGTCAATGCTCCACCCATTTCACATCTCCATCCTTCCTACCTGTCTTAATGTGGCTTTTTCTGTAAATCCTTGGTTATAAAACTTCTGTTCATATGAGTATATCCTAAGAACCCTGAAACACCAATCCAAAAGAACCTATGCACGCCAACATTCATAGCAGCACAATTTACAATAGCCAAGAGTTGGAAGCAACCTAGATGCCCATCAGTAAGTGAATGGATCCAAAAACTATGGTACATTTACACAGTGGAATTCTATGCAGCAGAAAGAAAGAAGGAGCTACTACCCTTTGCAACAGCATGGATGGAACTGGAAAGCATTATGCTGAGTGAAATAAGCCAGCTGGTAGAAGACAAATACCATATGATCTCACCTTTAACAGGAACCTAAACAACAAAACAAACAAACAAGCAAAATATAACCAAAGACACCGAAATACAGACAGGCTGACAGGGACCAGAGGGGAGAGGGGAGAAAATTTCAGGGGAAAAGGGGAAGGATTCACAGGAACAAGTATAAAGGACACATGGACAAAAACTAAGGTGGCGGGGGAGTGGGAGGGAGGTGGGGAGGGCTGGGGGTGGGCTGGGATGGGAGTAAAAGACAGAAAACTGTACTTGAACAATAATTAAATAAATTTAAAAAAAAGACTTCTGTTCAGCTACTCTTCAGCTGGTTTTTCAAGTTGATTCTTTTATATTTTAGTTGTAATTCCAGTTTGGTCCTGGGAATATGTAAGTGTAACTTTTACCCATTCTGCTGCTATCTTGAATCTCCATCAACTTTTTAAAAGGAGAATGAAGAATCTTAATCTTGCCCTAGCTCATGTGGTTCAGTGGATTGAGCCAGCTTGTGAACCAAAAGGTCACCAGTTCTATTCCCAGTCAAGGCACATGCCTGGGTTGCAGGCCAGGTCCCGAGTTGGGAGCATGTGAAAGGCAACCACACACTGATATTTCCCTCCTTCCCTTTCTCCCTCCCTTCCCCTCTCTCTAAAAATAAATAAATAAGATCTTTAAAAATAAGTACAATGTTTATTTTAAAAAGAATCTCCTTTCTCAGTTATATTAAGTGAGCAATCTGTAACTTATTAACAAATGAAAAAGAAATAATGTGGAAAAACAGTATGTATTGTATACTGTTGTGGTGCTTTGTATACATAAAATATGAAAAAATACAGAACAAAATTATGACACTGTGACATTTCTTGATTTCAGGTAGGGAAATTGGGTTGCTGAGGGACAGGGATAGAAGGGAGACTTTTTACTGTGTACTATTTTATACCTTTTAATTTTGAATCTTGTGTTCGAAATAAAGAACAAACTTACAGTGACCAGAGGGGAGGAGGGAGGGGCATAACAGGGAAAAGAAGGAAAAATGTTGTCAAGGAACATGTATAAAGTACCCATGGACAAAGCCAAAGTGGGGAAGAATGGAGGGTGGGAGGTTTGGGTGGGGCGGGGATGAGAAAATGGAGACAACTGTATTTGAACAATTAAAAACACAAATACAATGAAAAACTTTTTAAAATATTTTATTTATTTATTTATTTTTATAGGGGGGAAAGGAAGGAGAAAGACAGGGAGAGAAACATCAATGTGTGGTTGCCTCTTGAGCACCCCCTGCTGGGGACCCAGCCTGCAACCCAGGCACATGCCCTGACCAGGAATCAACCTGCAACCCTTTGGTTCACAGGCTGGCATTCATTCAATCCACTGAGCCACACCAGGCAGGGCATCTGAAAAACTTTTACAATGAAAAACTTTTAAATATAAAAATTCTCCCTGGCTGGTGTAGCTCAGTGGATTGAGCGCGGGCCTGCGAACCAGACAATCGCGGTTCAATTCCCAGTCAGGGCACATGCCTGGGTTGCAGGCCAGTTCCCTGCAGGTCAGTTCCCAGCAGGGGACGCAGGAAAGGCAACCATACATTGATGTTTCTCTCCCTCTCTCCTTCCCTTCCCCTCTAAAGATAAATAAAATTTGTTAAAAAAAATAAAAAATAAAAATTCTACATGTATATTATGTTTATATATATTTATAGAAACATATAAAAATAAGAAGGTCTGGAATGATATACAACAAACACCAAACCAAACAGGTATTATGACTTAGGAAAGGGGAGGTGGGAAATTAGATGTATGTGTGGGATGGACATTTACTTTTTACTTTATGCTGCTTGAGTTTGAAAGGAGATTTTATAATTACAGAAGTTAACCACATAAAAAGAAATCTTATAGGGCTGGGGGCACTATACCAAGAGAGTACAGTTATTTTTTTTTAATTCTGCTATAAATGTATGGAAGGCTCAGCCCTATTAACATTTCTGTAACATCATTCCCATGAATATTTCTGATAGATTGAAGTTGTAAGACCTGGAGGTCACCACCCAAATTCAAGAAAATACACAATGCAATATACTGACAATATATTATAGAGTTGTACAGTTGATACACATAATTTTATTAGCAAATGTCACACAAATAAATTTAATATTTTTCTAAAAAGGGAATAAGACCTTACTATGCGAGAATTCAAAATTAAATAGTGAGCTGACCCTCAGTCTTACAATGACTTCTGTGAAGAATGCTTATAGTTCCCATATTAGAAGAACTATCCAGGAGGCAAAGGGCATAAAAAGATAAGAAGTGGATAACTACTTTTATAATGGTCCCGAAGGTATACCTTACATTTTCAAAGTGTGTAGTCTTTGGAGCTATTGAAAAGAACTTGTGATTTAGAGTCAGAATTCCTGTTTTTAAAATCTGGCTACATTTTAGAGTAGTTGTGTGAATTTGGATCATCAACTACCCCTGCAGTTAATGAACTACTCCTATAGTTAACTATTCCTATTCTATTACTTGTCTGAGAAACTTATTTAAAAATTAAATGAGATATTATGAATACACATTCTAAAGTATGTAGTGTTGTTCAAATACTGTTATTATTTTTCATCACCCACAGTGGTAGAGTTAATGACAGTTATAGTAGTTTCCCCATATTGTCATAGGGACATTACCTCTTTACTCCCAGAACTGTATGCCAACTTTTAAAACATGCAACTTCTAGAACATCCCTGGTTCAAAATTTGTCATGTTACTTGTTACTGTCACTGTGTGGGAAGAGTAAAGTTAATGTTTCATAGTAATACTAAAAAAATAATTGCTACTAGAAAAACAAAGTAGAAGTTTGTTGTTGAGCTTTATGTCTTTTTGAACTCTTAGAAGTGGGCAAAAGGACAGTATAAACACTGTTTTATTTTCTTAAATTTCAGTTATCTACCTCATATTCTACCATGCCATCTTTGTGTTCTTTACCTGGACCTACTGGAAGTCTATTTTTACACTCCCACAACAGCCAAATCAAAAGGTAAGAATACTGGTTATTTCATAAAGCCTAAAAACAGAGGAAAGTAGAAATGCCAATAATGCAAGAAAAGGACAAAAAGGAAAGTAAAAAGCTTTCTATTACAAAAACAGAGATTAAGGGTAATATTTCAAAAGGACTCTTGGTGATAAAGATAAATTAAGTGTAGGATTGCCTATTGAAGGTATTTGTGAAATCACCAGCCATGGATATATTTAATACTAGAAAACTACTACCTGCATTGATGATATAATTAGACAAACAAAAACCCATTTGGATTCTGAAAATTCATCTAGTTCAATTCTATGAAGCTATTATTTTAGAACCCAGTGAGACTGTGGAAGACAACTGTTAGGAAAAAGTTACAATAGTTCAATTGATCATTTTCAAATTGTGCTGTGTTGAATCAAAGTGTTTCCTGCAATATTTGGGAATATTTATTTAAAAATTTGTAATTATACCAGGCATTTCTATTATGTGACTACTATAAAACAGTTTTAATTCCAAAGTAGGAAAAAAAAAACAATGGAAGAGACTTAAACAGCCTGCAAACATTAAAAAAAATACTGGTTTAAATTTTACCATTTAAGGAATCAAATTGGTACACAAGAAAAAAATAAAATGCAAAACAAGGCAGCAATGCAAGAACTGATGAACATAAAAGATATAAGCATATAGAAAATAAATAGAAAAATTGTACAAGTTCTCCTTATAAGTAATTATTTAAAATATAAATGAATTAAACTATCCAGTTGAAAGGCAGATATTTATGTAATGGATTAGCATCACCTGGCTTTATGCTGTCTATATATGAGTCACTTCATTTTTTTAAAGATTATATTTAATTATTTTTAGAGAGAAGAGACGGGAGGGAGAAAGAGAGAGAGAAACATCAATGTGTGGTTGCCTCTCATGCTCCCCCTACTGGGGACCTGGTCTGCAACCCAGGCATGTGCCCTGACTGGGAATTGAACTGGTGACCCTTTGGTTTGCAGGCTGGCACTTAATCCACTGAGCCACACCAGCCAGGGCCAAATGAGTCACTTTAGAACTGAAGACATAAATAGGTCAAAGGTGAAAGGATGGAAAATATTCCAAGCAAATAGTAACCTAAAGATAGCAACAAGAGGAGCTGTACTAACATCACATAAGGGGGATTTTAAGACAAAAACTGCTGCAAGATACAAGGGAGAAAAGGATCTCACTGAGTGATGCCAGAAAGATGACAAAGTAGTAGACACTGGCCTTTGTCCTCCTACCAAAAACAACACACAGCTATGCTTGAATGAAAATAGTCATGGGAGGTCAAAAGAATCTAATTACATACCTGTAGCAACACAGCAGAACAAAAAATGGAGAATAATCATACAGGAAGAATTGCTAGGAAGATTAATTTGATGGTGACATCTTGAGAAGGCTAAGAACAAAGAAACAGGGCAGGTGCTAACAGTATCAGCCACACAACAGGTACTAATGTAGTCACCAGTGGACTCCTTTGTAGAGGACTCTGGCAGCTTTTGCCACCGAGAACCGCAACAGCCCCTGGGACAGCCATAACTTTCCACAGTTTTAACAGCAGAGGATCTCAAAATGTTTGGCAGTATGGACCCCAGCAGTCTCCACCACAGAGGATACTGGCAGCTTTTGCCACTGAGATAACCAATAGCCATCACTGCCACAGACTGTCCTTAAAGTAGGATGCTGCTGAGACCTCCCTACAAAAAGAAGCCCCTATTGTGCCATTGAGTACTGGGGATGCTACCCACAACCTTGTGCTTTCTCTAGACCCCAGGATACTTTACATGTACTTGCCACTAGATGCCAACATAACAGCCATTCCGCCCATGCTTGTCCTGCAAACCCTGGCTTCATAGCCACTCCGCCTATACCAGCACCTCAGACACCAGAGCCACTAACAACACATGATATCTCATGCTGCAGATCCCAGAGACACTATCATTCTACGCACACTTGTGCTCTGGACCCTAAATCCATGGCTACTCTGCAAGTGTTTACAACATGGAAACTGGAGCACTGCTGAAGTATATGTACCTGTACTCTAGAATCCATTACCATAGCTTTTCCACAAGTATTCAAACTTAAGACCCGAGTTGCCACCATATCAGACTCATCTATATACCACATATAGCTGCTCTTTGGACTCTAGTTCCATTACTGCTCAGCAAGTGCGTGTACCTAAGTCAATGGAGCCTATGCCTCAGACTCCAAAACCTCTGTAGCTCTGTGAGCCTGTAGATTTATAGAAGCTGGAGGCATCATACTTTCTGATTTCAAATCATGTTATAAAGGTATAATAATCAAAACAGTATACTGCTGACATAAAAACAGACACATAGATAAATGGAACAGAATCAAGAGCCCAGAAATAAACCCATGCATATATAGTCAACTAATCTTCAACAAGTTGCCAAGAATACACAATGGAAAAATAATAATCTCTTTAGTAAATGTTGGTGGAAACACTGGATATCTGTACAAAAAAGAATGAAATTGGACCTTTAGTCCATTCAAAAATAATTTAAAATGGAATAAAATAATTTAAACATAAAACCTCAAACCATGAAATTCTTAGAAAACCTACCTGAAATTGGTCTTGGTATGATTTTTTTTTTTTGGTTTTGACACCAGAAGTATATGCAACCAAACCAAAAATAAACAAGTGCAACTACATTTAACTAAAAACTGTTTACACAGCAATAAAAACAACCAACACAATGATATTGCAATATATGGAATAAGAGATAATATTTGCAAACTTTATACTTGCAAAAAGATTATTATCCAAGATATATACTGAGGTCTGTCCAGAAAAACGCCAGCTGCTGTTAATATAACTACACCAATGTAACCTGGCAGCCAAGGAGAATGGGCTGGAATGTTCATGCATGAATACTGACTAGAACTTGTTCTAGTCAGTGAGGGTGGTAGACACCATTGAGTGAGCATGTATACTGTATGGCAATTGCATTAAAAATGACTGAGCAAGTAGAGTAATAAATCTCCATCAAATTGTGCTTTAAGTTTGAACATTCCTCCACAGAAACTATTCAAATGATTCAGAAGACTGCAACTATGGGCAACTGCTAATTGGCAGCTTCATCACGACAGTGAACCTGCTCATGCATCATATCTTGTGCAGAGTTTTTTTGGTGAAACATCAAATCACTCCAGTGACTCAGCCCCCTACAGCCCAGATTTAGTGCCCCGTGACTTCTGGCTTTTCCCAAAACTAAAAGCATCATTGAAAAGAAAAAGATTTCAGACCATTAATGAGATTCAGAAAAATATGGGGGGACAGCTGATGGTGATTAGGAACACTATGTGAGGTCCCAAGGTGCCTACTTTGAAGGTAGCATTGTCCCATGTGTAATGTTTCTCGTAACTTCTTCAATAAATGTCTGTATTTTTCATATTATGTGGCTGGATACCTTCTGGAAGGGTCTTGTATGGAACTCAACAACTCAATATAAAAAAACCCCCACAAAACTAGCAACCCATTGAAAAAGACCCAAATAAACATTTTTGAAAGAAGACATATGAATAGCTAACAGGTATATGAAAAGGTGCTAAACATAGGGAAAATGCAAATTATCAGTGAAATGCAAATCAAACCAGAGAGATCACCTAACAACAGTCAGAATGGCTATTATCAAAAAGTCAAAACATAACAGGTGTTGGAGAGGATGTGAAGAAAATGGAATCCTTTAGCACTCTTGGGCATGTAAATTGTTGCTGCCACTATGGAAAACAGAATAGTTGTTCCTCAAAATATTAACAGTAGAGTTACCATATCATCCAGCAATGCCACTTCAGGGTATATATCTAAAGGAAATGAAGTCTGTATCTCAAAGAGATATCTACACTCTTATATTCATTGTGCCACTGATCACAGTGATAAAGATATGATCACAATACCTGATATCAAACTATGTTACAAGGCCACTGTAATCAAAAGTCTGTTACTGGCATAAGAACAGACATATAGATCAATGGAACAGAATGGAGAGCCGAGAAATAAAACCAGATCTCTATGATCAATTAATATTTGACAAAGGGAGCAGGGGCATAAAAAGGAGTAAAAATAGCCTCTTCAACATATGTTGTTAGGAGATCTGGACATGCAGAAAAATGAAACTCAACCAACTTAAACTATACACAAAAATAAACTCAAGATGGATAAAAGACTTAAATATAAGTCATGACACTATAAAAGTTCTAGAGGAAAACATAGGCAGGAAAATCTCAGATATTCTGCACAGCAGTATTTTCACCTATATGTCCACTAGAGCAAGGGACATAAAGGAAAGAATAAACAAATGGGACTTCATCAAAACAAAAAGCTTCTGCATGGCTAAAGAAAACATCAGCAAAATGAAAAGGGAACCAACCATATAGGAAAATATATTTGCCAATGATACCTTAGACAAGAGTTTGATCTCCAAAATATATAAAGAACTCATGATTCCACTCCAGGAAGAAAAACCATCCAATTAAAAAATGGGCAAAGGACCTGAACAGCCATTTCTCCAAGAAGGACATACAGAGGGCCCAGAGACATGTAAAGGATGCTCAGCATCACTAGCCATCAGAGATGCAAATTAAAACCACAGTGAGATACCACTTCACATGGGTCAGAATGGCCATCGTAAGCAAATCAACAAACAAGTGCTGGTGAGGTTGTGGAGAAAAGGGAACCCTAGTTCACTGTTGGTGGGATTGCAGACTGGTGTAGCCACTGTGGAAAACAGCATGGAATTTCCTCAGAAAACTAAAAATGGAACTGCCTTTTCACCCAGCAATTTCACTGTTGGGATTATACTCTAAGAATCCTGAAACACCAATTCAAAAGAACCTATGCACACCAATGTTCATAGCAGCACAATTTACAATAGTCAAGTGTTGAAGGCAACCTAGGTGCCCATCAGTAAATGATTGGATCAAAAAATATGGTACATTTACACAATTATATACTACATAGCAGA